GCTTGCTGGCTCGGGAATTCTGGGAGTCGAAGTCCACACATCTTAAAGTTGCCAAGGTTGAGAAACACTGCTTTAGAAGGTTGCCTTGCTTTGGTACTTCTTAAAACAAAGCACCCCTTATAGTTGCTTCATGGAACAGCACAGCTCCCTGCTTGTAAAGAGTGAAGTAAAAGTGCCATGTGGCTTTGCTTCATGTTGTTCCACAGTGGCTTCTCCAGAACATCCAGTAGCCAGAAGAGACTCCCAGTGTGTTACTGGAAACACTGGAAGAAAATTCCAAAGTACATGTGCAGAAGCTGTGCTGTTTACTGGACCTCCAGAGGAGGCCTCAACATGATGCAGAATGCCTCAGATAGAGGCCTAGCACCATCAAGGCAAGCTCGCTTTACAAGATTGTCATAAAGATTTACTCAGGGAAAATATTCTGTATTCAAATACTGTGAGACATGAATATCCAGCTTCCTAAGCATGAATTCCCATTCTGGACTGCACCAAAAAATGGTAATGGAAGATTTCTGTTCAACCTCTGGTTTGTGTGTTTTTAGCACCAATGGGGTTCTGTTCTTTTTTCCCTGTTTTTCATTATCAGCATGAATCAGTGAGTGATCTAGAGGCTAACTTCCAGGCTAGAAGTGGTCTTCACACATAGACATCCACTACTCATCATAATGACAGGGGGGGAAAAAGTGTCAACATTGGAAAAATAAATCTATGGCCCCAATTTCTTAGCAGATTGAACACCTCATATTTCTTGTGACTTATAAGTCATAGATTATGTGTGGACAATTGCAATGGAATATGGTCATCTTTTATTGAAATAGTTGTGTAAAACCTATCACTTCACATTTATTTCTTTAGTTTTAATATTTGTATACCACTTTTGTTGCACCCTGAACATTTTGAAATGCAGTACTGCCAAACTTCCATGCTCAGATTTTGTCAGAATGACATGCTCTTAACTCTCCTCATCAAAGTGAGGAGATGATGTGATTCTCCTTTTCACAGGACTTCTTGTCACGTTGAGGCCTGTCTATCAGTTCTAGCAGCCAGCAGCATAGCCTCTCTCAGCTGGAAGAGTGGCTCAGAGCATCTCAAAGTGAAGCTATGTGGTCACGTAGCTTTTAGAAGTAGAGGCAGGAAGGGAGTTATTCATAAAGCAGCTTTGCAGGGCTGCTTCCCATGAACCTCTGAAGCAAAGCACCACTTGAAAACTTTGTACAACTCTCATTTATTGCTCATAAGTCATTTTTCAAAATATTATTTGTCCTCTTTTAAGCTTGCAGAAAGGAGAAGATACACATGCAAATTTTGTGCCATCATTTGAAGAACAGGGCAAAAGCATTTATTGTTCAAGTGTGGTAGAAAACAGATTTGCCAAAGCACGGGCCATACCTGTGCTCTCTTGAAGCTGAACAAGAAGAATATAAAACTCTGAAGTCTGTTCAAGCTTCACAGTGTCAATCAGATGACATCTAAGAGAGTGCCTTTTTCCAAGGGACTAGCACCAGTTACAGGAACACTGTTTCTCAGTGCTATTTATAGATGTATTCTTTTGCCATACTCTCTTCAGGTGTTCAAATTGTGTCTGATAAACAGCTCCCTCTGTGCAAAGTTCCTGATCACTGAGAGAGCCTCACATACAGGTATATGTATGTAAGATTCCATTATAGTACAGGTAGCCCTCATTTAGTGACCACAACTGGGACTGGCAACTTAGTCATTAAGTGAAGCTGTCATTAAGTGAAACCACCGCTGTGCTTATGATCTTCAGCTTTTCTGATTTATAGACCTGCAAAGGTTATAAATATGAAGACTGAGTGCAAAGTTACTTTTACATCACTGTCGTAACTGTGAACGGTCACTGCCTGAGGCAGTCGCTAAATGAGGACCACCTATATTCAACTTAATATGCTTTAAACTGTCTCGTTCATTCACTGTATACAAATTGAACCCCTGAGGTTCTTTTTAAAACAACTTCTTACTGGGTTGCTGTGATAAAAATTTCTGGAAGAGATAGGAGTTTTAAAAATATTATTAAATTGTTTTTTAGTTTATAGCAGGTGTATTCAGTGCTGGAGCATAGCTACTCCCTATTCAAGTGTAGAGGAAAATTATTTATAAGTGCTGCAATAAAAATTAATTATGTTCTTAAATGGGTATTTATTCTTGCTAACATCTGTCAAGTAGGAAAGTTGATGCTAACAGATATAATTTATTTCAGAAGTACTGGTAATTTATTATTCATTAGTAGTGGTAAAGCTAGTAGCAAGACCAGAACACTTGCCATACAGGTTGTTAACTCTGCCATTAATTTAGCAGCTACAAAACAACTTATTTTTTATCCTTCAAGTACATGTAGTGTTTAGACTTAGCTGTTCAATATGGTTGTGTATTAGTAGGAGGGGGAAATTAATGTTTCTTATCTCATCTTATTTGGGTTCAAATAATTTATACTATTCTAGGTATAGGTTATATGATTCTACACAGAAAGCATTACTCTTGATTGCTTATAATCTGATCATTCTATAAGAATCCAGGCTCTGGATGCTTTTGTATTTGAAGCAAATAATGAAAGTTAAAAATGAAGCAATCAAGCAAAAGTAACAAAAGCCACTTGCCAAGCCTTGTGGCTCTCCTATTTCATAATCCCAGACAAGCATTAGAAACAGCGTTATCCGACCCGATATAAAAAGATTCTTGCAGTCTCTTCTCATCCACACTATTTTCACTTCCATCTGGCTTCTCCTTGATTAGCAAGAAAACAAGAAGAAACTTGCTAAATCAGGCCATTGGTCCATCTAGTTCAGCATTCTGTGTCACACTGGGGCCAACTAGAAGCATTTGAGAAGCTCACAAATCTAGATGTGCACTACTGCTTCTCTGCAATTAGTATTTAAGGCATGCAGGCAACTTAAGATTCAGGATTTAGCCTTACCAGGAGCTTCCATGAAACTATCCAATAGATCCAAATGAGCTTCCATTATCTGAACTGCTGACTGAAATTCCACAACTTAACCATGAACTACGTAAGAAATATTTTCTTCTGTTGCTCCTGAATCTCCCGAATGTACTTTCTTTCCCCACCAAGCTCTTTCCTTCTCTTAGAATCCTGTTTAAACTATTCTAGCTCCAGTGTATTCTGTCCAGACTGTCAGTAGAAAGCCACAGGTTCTCCATCCAGATATCTGGCCTCTCTTTTGTTGGATACAGATTGTCTCTGTTTTGGGCCAGTCACACTCTCTCAGCCTTAGGAAGGAAGCAATGGGAAACCACTTCTGAAAATCCTTGCTAAGAAAACTGCAGGGGCTTGTCCAGGCAGTCGCCAGGAGTCAACACTGACTCAAAAGCACAAAAATAATAATAGAAGGGATTAAGGCTGGGGTTACCGAAATCTACCAAAGAATATGCAGTGTTCAAAGGGAGGGTAAAGAGAGAGCAAATGTCTAGATTTCTGCATCCACCAGATAACCAGTAGTCAACAAATTATTTTATTTTTAAAGGCCTATCATGAATGTACAAGATGCAAGGAATGAAAGTTACATGTTCATATGCACAGGTAGAAAACTAAACTAAAAAAGAATATATAGAGCAGCAGCAGGAGCCATGACTGTGTCGGTATTATTTTTAGCACCTCCTTCTGTCACACAGTTCTGAAATCTGTGCTTTATCATGTGCCTACTGATCAGCAATAGCTTTTGGGGGGGGGGGGAGCCTTCTATATGGAAGGTGCTGATCCTGTCCTGCCTCTTTGTCTCTTTTTGTTTTAGAAAAAGTAAGCATAGATTTGCTCTTGTGCTGTGGAAGGGGAGAATGCAGCTTGAGTAAGGTAGGCAAGAGAGCTGCTCTCTATACAAATGGATGAGAATTTAACTACGTTTGGTGGTGTGACAGAAGCAATTTGGTCTCTGGCTGTGCAGGCCAGGTTCCCTTGCCCTCACTGCACTATACCAGAATTCAAGGTCATGATTTGGTCTTATTGATGGTCATCCATAGTTCTGAACTAAGTCACTCCCTGCTCCAGTGGTGTTAAATTAGGCTTGGAATTGCCTTGAAGGGGAATAATTACACTATGATGAATTGAAGTGTTTGTGTTATTTTTTTCCGAACGCCTCTGTACTTTGTTTGTATGTTTGCCATGGGCCCCAGTGACATGATAGTGATTTTACGCTATTATATAGTTATATAAGCAAGAGCGTCATGCAGAACTGCTCCTTTCTTAGAAATTCAGAGGAAGCCTCTGGCTTTCTTCCCAAACATTTTGTCATGTGATAGTTAAGAAGTGGCTTATCATCCAAGTAATTAAACCGTTTCATGAGCTGCCTGCAAACTTTGGGATATACTGATTTTATTGAGTTAGATCAGAAAGAGTTCAGTCGCAATCTTAGGTGTTTTAAAAAGCTGTTTTAGATGTATATAACTACTGTATATGTATCTTTAAGCTGTTCTGGATGTATATAACTATTTACCATATACTTATTTTGTGAACTGGAATATATTCCTCTATCTGATGATTTTGACTGAAGTACTTTACTTTTACAGCAACTCTAAACATGATTACTCAGAAATAAGGCCTACTCAGTTTAATGATCTGTAAAAATATGTTTAGTACTGCAAGCTTATGTATTCATAAAAAAGCCCCGTTGAAATAAACCCATAGTTGATATTCATTGTTCTTATGGAGGCCTTCACTGCTTTAACAGAGCATGAACTTAGAAAGTATCAAGCTCTATTTAATATGTCAAACACTCGTGGATATCTCCTTGATTGGAACTAGAGAGAATCAAAACAAAGGCAAAAGCTCTATTTGGGCAAAGGCCAATCTAACTGATTGATGTCAAGAGATGATTGATGTCAAGGGCAAAATGGATGGTGGACCTTGATCCTATTAATTGACTTTGGGCTGCTGGGGTGGTTCAATATTCTTTTACCGGAAGATAAAATTGCCTTGGAGTTGCTGAATAATTATTTCTTTTTCCTACCGAATGTGTGAGTGTGACCATAGTTTTCTCAAATAGTTACAGTTTAATACTTTATCATTAGTTACTTATTTGTATAAAGAGCCACCCTATCCAAAAGGTAAGGGATGGGTAACAGTCACCAGCCATTAAAAATCTGAAGGCTTATGTTCAAAAAAGCAGGGAACAAAAGTTTCTTGTGGAAGTGTCAGAATCTGTAATATATTTGGAGATAACTACTCATGTAATGCAGAGCCTGTTTGAAAGATCTGCCAAGTTCAATGTCAGCAGACATTTGGAAAGGGACTGTTTTCAAGTGATAGTTTCCAGATAAGCTGTTTTTGTCTAAATCCGTGCTTTTCTTCTAGTGCCATTGTCCAGTTTGGAACAAAGAACCTCTTTGTGGGTATGCAGTTAGCAGCCTGTTGCCAGTGGATACCTAGTTGCTTAATCACAAAGCTTGTATACATGGCACTGATATCAGTATGCACACCGGGGTAGTTTAAAAAAAAAAAAAAAGGCCATCTTCTTACAGCCCTGTTTATTTTTGTGTGTGCTCAAACTGCAGGTGTGATGGCTGGGTTCAATATGAGTGGTGACCTCCGGAAACCCTCAACGAATATCCCTCTAGGATCTTTATCTGCCATTGGCATTTCGTAAGTCCTTTCGAACGAAGGGGAAAGCCCTCTTGGAAAATTTGTTTTCTGCTCAGGGAAACTTTCTGCTCACCTCTGTTGTGCAGTCCATCCATTTCCTATTCTAATCATCCCTCCTTTTTCCTTCCTTCCTTCCTTCCTTCCTTCCTTCCTTCCTTCC